CACTTTGCCATCAGGCATTACAGTGTGTGTGTGGGGGGGGGGGGGGGGGGGGGGGGGGAACAAGCAATATGTAGACACACAAAAAAACTCACACATTCAAAACGTTCGGAGAGCCCTGCTTTAGAAGACGGAACGCCGGCGTCCGACATTTGGTTCTCGCACATGAAAGCGTTCAACGAGAGCAGTGGAGGAGACAAAGCTTTAGGTCTACCCACTAATCGTTCCAATCAGAGCTCAGCGTTCTGACGGCCCCTCGCCCAATCGATCTCCTCCTCTCCCTCAAGTTCTCGGCGCATAGAGGCACGTACATTTCACTGCGAGTTTGAAAAGAACTGCGAACGCTTCGGAAGCACGATGGCCACGCGTCAGTTACAGTGTTCATGAGCGACATTTTCATGAGCTGCTGCTTATTTGAGTACGTAAAGAGAGATAATAGAAATAAATTAACCGTCGCCGGGCCTAAACATATACTTTAAAAAAATGCCCTGAAACGCGTGAACGAACGCCGATTATTCGTGAGTGTTTAGGCTGGAGGTATCCTTTCCGCCAGCACCGTGCCAGAGCGTTCATAAAAATAAACGTTGGGCCGTAAAATTCAAAGTGGTATCAACGCACGAGTACAATGCCCGGCGACACGCTATGCGCAACGAGTGAAAGTAAGCGGCCGAGTTGGAAACATCGAAACCCTGAGAACAGAAAGAAATAAAAGAACGAATTTTTGTTTCGTCCGTTATTTTATTTCTCCGCAGAATCGCCAGTGTGCGCGTTCTTTCAAAAAAAAAAAAAAAAAAAAAAAACCGCAAACACAAAAAGGGGATTTTGTTTTTCAGAGTTGAACCTGCAATAGACGAGTATGTTTGAAGGCGCTCTTCACTAACTATGACACTCAAATTTTCATCTGGCGTGAAACAGTGCAGCGTAGAAGTTACATTAGAAGAACAGGGAAACGGCGACTAAACAAAAATTAAAGGTGCGATGCAACAATTTTTGTACTTTGCGCAAATACCATTTAGAACGGATCCCTGACGTTAATGACCTATGAAACACGCGTTCGTTTTTCACCCACTCAATAGAATTCCCCCCCAAAATAAAGAAAAACGAGCAGCGTTCACCCCCTCAACTCGCAGCTACTCGCAGCCAGAACAAGCGGCCACGTGATCTGGAGCCGATTATATGCCGCCAGTGTTGATCATAGCCACGCGCTGGGGTTGGCAAAGCACAGGACACGCGCTGAGTTCCAGACGTTGTTATGGTTCGGCTGTTTTCGTCATTGCAGCGCTTGGACACAGGACATACCCGAATGCTTCTCGAGCTATCGATTATCACGAGCCCAACTCGAGTGCCCACTCAATGCTCGGGTCCAATCTATGAGCATCATTCAAATATCGTCTCTGGGGTGTACTGCGATCCCCACGTTAAGTCATCAAATTTTGCAAAGGAAAGATTGAACGAAAATGATCGCTTTTGTCCTTGAAATTACACCGCAACAAAGGAGTTCCTTGGCCAGTGGCGAGTGTCCTTGACTCCCACTAGTGCCAGTAAGCTCGTGTAAAGTGAAAAACATTCCAATATCGTTGTACCGCTCATTTAGGCTAGCGCGTGTGTCAGGGCGACAGCAGCTCCGGGCTTGCGTAAATCGCTCTTGGCACCGCCGTCTTTTCTCGCTCCTGAGCACGATTGGAAGGATTGTAGCCTCCGCTATCGATACCGCACCCTGCCTCATCCGCACTTCCTCTACGACGAGCCTCGCCATCTGATAGCAGAACCGGCCCGGACATGACGTCCTCGTTAGAGGATCCCGCCCCAAAGACACGCTGAAGCTCGACGAGAGCAAACCGGCAGACGCGTCGGTCTGGTCGTTGCCGCGTGCTAGCGTCGCGCTAGCTGTGAGACGCTGCAACACGCGTTGGTGGCTGACGCAACCTAGGTGGCGCTGCGTGGAACCAGCAGCGATGACCGGGTTGAGGGGGCACGCCGTGGCTGAAATTTTCTCTCTTCGGACCCGCTACGGACTTTCCGAGGTCTTGCCATACGGCGTCTTGTCGGATGGTCTGGTCGGATGGTCTGGTCGGCTGGTCTGGGATGTTCCCATTAACAGCTGTCGCTGTAAAACGCTTTCGATGAAACAGCCGTAAGCGGTTCGGTGCAATTTCGTTTCATAAAGGTCCCGGATGGACGGCTAGCTCGACAGCCCAGCGCGCGTTGCCGCTGTGGCGGGGTGTTTGGCGCCGCACGCGGCTGGCAGGGGCTGCCATGACAAATGTGCCGCCATTTGTCAAGCCGGGTTGCGCCACGAGCGCGCTCGCGCCGTCCATCACTGCGAACACTCCGGGACGGCACCTGGTCGGGCGCTTTGGCGGTTCGCTCGTTCGCCGGACTAATGGATGAGGGCCCGGGAATGCTGACCGCTGCTGGGACCTCGCCAGCCGGACAACCTTGGGCCCACTCTTCTAGCGTCACGAGGTTGGACGCGGAGATGGGTTTGAACCCCCGTGCCGCAATGAAGAGAACGGCTCTTGACTCGGGGAAGTGGCGCACGAAATAGGAGTCGCCCCACTTTCTGATGCCCAGTTACTTAAGTCTTTGAAAATAATGCGGGTATCGTCGATAACTATAGGTCATACGAAAGGCACTCAGACATGACGAGATAATTGTCTGCGAACACGTCTCATGCATGTCCGAGGCACGTTTGCTTCATACATCTTCCTACTTGAAAAAAAAAAAAAAAGCGCACAGAGTGCGGAAAGTACACGACAGTCTCAGAACATTCAAAAACGAGCAACAGGTGGAAAATGCCTGTCGATGGTCATGGCCCGTTGACCAGTCGACACTAAGCCGTCGACGGGTTATACAGAAAGGTAAACGGGAAAAGGCAAGGACTCAACTGATAGGATTCAATTCGCTACATTCACTGTGTTACAAGTGGATCGAGGGTGATTATTGCATGCATCGATGACATTACACCGGGACCTTTATTAATCCCGGCCCGGATGGAATTAAATTTGAAACTAAGGTAGGATTCCCTCTGTTCACAATCGCAATTGCTTTTGAAATTAGATTGCAAAAATGTAACGTCCAGTTTGTCAAATGTGGGTTTGGGTAATGTCACCCTGCACCATGGGAACCAATGACCTCACCACCGCCAACGTCTCTTTAGCGCTGACCAGGTACCGTAACCTGTTGAGACTGGTCCGGGAGCAACGTGCGGTCATCGTAAATCCCTATGCAACCTTGGTTTTGCCGCGTGCTCCTAACCGATGCCGCGGCTCTTCGAACTGGGGCTTCATAGGTAGACTCAATTCTAAGGAGCAAGGCTTCGAAAGTGGCCTTCGCCACCTGTGTCACCAGGCACAGAACATGTTCTTCCTAGACCACTGCCTCGACCGTCTTTCTGTGCGACTCGTCATGGAGGCGGATGGCGTGCACGCGAGTTTCGCCGGCCTGTCCTACCTGGCGTGGAACGTGCACCGACTACTCGCGCGATGTCGCCGCCGAGCGCCCACATGTGGCTGGACCATATGCCTCCTCTCGAAAGCCCATGAACGACACTGGCTTGGATACAGCGACAAGCCCCCTACAAGATGCCGCTCTCTCTGAGGACTGTGCCCTCATACTGTTTCACATTCAGTGCCCCGATGCTCCTGCCCTCGGCGATCGTCCCCGAGTGCTCCGTCCAGCCGGACGATTGATTCGCCTGCGGCTCTTCGGCAAAAGCCACTCCTCCGTTGTCGGCGGACGCCCCCAAGCGTACAGACCGAGAGATCCGCCCTACAGAGCGAGTGAATCATGTCCCGAAGCCCACCCTTCACCCAGATACAACCAGCACAGGACGTTCAGCGAAGTTGTCCGCCCCCTGCGGGATTGACGACCACGGCGAGACGCACCACGAGTTTCCCCTGTTGTGAGTGAGACCGACGCAGACAGCGACAGTTTGTCATCTAGAACTTGTCTACAACTTAGAAAATTAGCTGACAAAAGAGTACGCCACGATTTGCATGCCACTTAGCTTAAACTTTACCTTGACCTGCGCATAACCCTGAGAGCTGACAAATTACCTTAAAACCTAGCACGACAGCGCTGTCTCGGAGCGAACTGGAAATGTGGAATACGGTTCTTCTCGCTAACACTTCCCTCGAGTTGGCGAGGATTACACATTGCGAAACAACTTCACACATGGTCAAACGAGCCGAACGTAATTTATTCCGCGATCATGATATAGCTCAGCCTAAAACCGCCTAAATGCTCCTCTGGGTTTTGTTCCTCCTTTAGGTCTGGGCAGTTCTGAATTTAAACCGACTAGGATTTTGTTTTATTTCTCGGGGCCAGCACCCAGCACCCCTGGCAGCCTAGAGCCCTGGGCTTCTGTACCCTTAGCCCGTACCTTAATCATACCCTGCAGTATGATGTATGAGCAGGCGGGAGACTGCGGCACAGCGAAAAGTCCGTGAGCTGGGCGGGGGCCTGGTGTCCCCGCTGTTGCATCACGTCTCCCTTCTTGAACGGCCGTTCACAGCCTCCTCTTCCAGCGGGGTTGGAAGCGATCGCTCACTGGTTTCTTCGGCTGTGGGAAAATAGTGATTAAAATTTTATTTATTTGATATAGGTTGTATTTTTATTGAATTGAATTTCTTTGATTTCAGTCGCTGCGCTTCAAAATGATGTTTGTTTTTGTCACTATATGTATTCTAGACCTAACATACTCAATTATGAATGCACTGAACCAAGAAAAAAAAAGAGAAAGAAAAAAGTAACACGAGTTATTGGCTATAAATTAATTAAGGACTCTTCATTTTTTAGATGAATCACACCATGCGCATTGTTGAACCAAGATTATGGATGTTTTATTTAATGGGCAAATGCCGTTGACCGTAACGCGATAAGAAATCAAGACAATACCCACTGCGCGCACGATAAATTAGTGATAGCATTAAACCTGCATTGACACAATGGCGCCACTGAGTCCGCCTATGTTTTTCTTTTTTTTCTCCCGAAAGCCTCCAGTGCATCTGTTTTTGGTCCGCTTCGTGCTCATGGTGCCGCTGGGGAGCCGAAGCTTTACGCCAACGAGGCATGAATATGGTAGGTTGCCTTTGAAGTCTGGACTCGAGAACAGTTTGCGAAGCTCTCTCTCCACCAAATGTGCATCCTCCGTTTTTTTTTGTTTTTTTTTCCTGTTTGGCTGACATTTTAACACGTACTCGGAGCATGTGTTAGAACGCCATCATCCTGTCCGCGTGGCTCACGATGGAAACTAAAGATGGAAAGCATTCGGAAAACCACACGGGCAATGCCACCTGCGTACAGTTGCTTCCTCGCGAACGCTGGGCACGTGACTGGCTTTTTTCAAGGACAAATGCCCGCCCGCCGGCAACTAGACACACGCAATGATGGCGGCTATCTTATCTGTGACTACTCACGTTCACTGGTTTGCGCGTTAGAGAAAGAGAAAAAAAGGGAGGCGCTATACTTCGTTTCACCTTAGCTCCGAGCGCGGGCGATGTTATCAGCCGAAGGGCCAATCAAACTGCGTAAAAAGTGCAACGTCATGGTGTGCTCTCTGAGCTTGACTAGCAGGCGGAGGAGCAGTGCACGACGGCGAATACAGGCTGGTCCTATCAACTAAAGAGAGCACGCCATAACGTAGTGCCTCTTTCGCTGTATGATTGGCCCTTCGGCTCATAACATCGGCCGTGCTCGGACCTAAGCTGAAACGAAGTGTAGACTTTGGTACACAGCCGCCAGTGTTTCACGCGTACATGGCATGCCTCCTCGGAGATTCGCTCGCTTGCTGCGTCCGTTAACGTTGCTCCTCGGGTTGCTAGGGAGTTTTCGTAGACCGCGCTGCCTCCTCCGCTAAGCGTTCCGCATCGAAGAAGTTGATACTGCGCCTGCGCGCCGATAGCCTTGACTATGGAGTTCCCGCTATCATAGCGGGTTGCGGAGGGCCTTGCGGGACGGCGAAAACGATCTACGAAAACTCCCTACTGTCACGAGCCGTCTTCTCTCAAACAATGAGCGCGAAAGAAGGGTCGTGTCCTGCTTGCAAAGAAGCGGAACGTTCGAAGAGGCCAATCAGGGTTCTGGATTTGCTTCATGGTATTACTCCGTTAGAAAGTGGCACGTCCCGGGAGTCATGTGAACGACGAGTTCGACGCTCCGACTTTTTCTCCACGGGATCACGTTAAGCAAATATACAACAGTATAAGGGTAAGAAGTTATTACCGTCATATAAATGTTTCTTTCCTGGTGGTAGTCTGATTTCAGTAAAATATTAAACGCGTGTAACAAATTTATATCTTAGATATCGAAACAATATACGAAAGTTTATTATTTCTTCGTGGAAATGTTAAATGTGAATCGTCATTGTAAAATCAGCGCGATTTAAACAGCGAGTTATAAACCATGATATAAATTGTGGCTTAAGTCATCCCGATGTTTATTCTCCACACTGGTTGGGCTTGTGTGCGAAAGGTTTGGGGGGTGCAAAAGCGGGCGATTGTTGAAACAAGCGCGTGCGTAGCCCGTGAGCCTACTATGCCCGGCTGGCCTCGGGCCGCGTGTCTCGGTACGCCCGCTCGCCGAGGAATGTTTCCGCAGGCGAGTCTCGTGTCAAAGACCGCGCACAATGCAGAGCGAGCTGTCGAAAAGCGCGAACACCACTACTTCTCTAGACGCGCCGCTCATGCCCATCACTGAGCGCTTACGTCGTCTCACTCAACCAAGCAAGGTGAGCTCTCCCGAAGTCATAAGCATACTCTTCGTGACACAGCTATATCCGCTGGAAACTCAAAGACGCGCAGGGTTTATTATCTTGTTTCGTGATTTATTCCTCGACATTCTTATTGGCGAATTTAACAGTCTCATTGATTGCGATAACGCGAATTTCGGGACTCGCAACGTCCCGAGAATTAAAGTAAAACAATATTGAACGCAAAACCGGAAACGTGTAATTTTGCGAAGCTGTTACGGTTTCTTTTTCTTTTTTTTAATTGACTTTCGAACACAACCTGTCCGACGCCAACGAGGAAAGCAAGCTGCTTCTTGCGCAGAAGTTTCGGTGACGTCAGAACGATGCCGAGATCTGATTGGCTTGAATTGCAAGGATAGTGGGCAGACCTCGATGCTAGATGCCTTGAGGTCTACCCACTATTTTTCTCAATGAACCAATAAGAGCTCGGCGTTCTGGCCGCATCGCAGCCCGTGTGCATGAAGCAGACGAACTTGCGCTCTACGTAGGTTCAGTGGTTGCTGAGAGACCCAAACATTGCCATGGGAAATGCGTCGGCTCTTCTACTGTGATATCTTCTGAAGCTATCGGTGAATATATAATATACCATAAATAGATCTATGATGTAGCCTTTGAAGAAAACGCCGACGCCGAACGACTCTTTCGTTGCTCCGAAGAGGGGTCTCTTAGCCATCTTCGGAAGAGTGTGCCGCCGACGTCGTCAAGATATCAAGCATCCAAGGAAATATTCTCGCAAAAATGCATCGGAACATAAATACAAAATACTGTAACAATATTGTATTCGTAATGTTAACTGCAATTACAAATTCGATATGAGAAGAAAGCAAAAACTCGCGTTTTTGACCTGGAGAGTGGGAACAGAAAGACAAGTTTTTTTTTTTTCTTTTTTTTTTTTGTGTCCAGTCCTGTATCGTCTGCCACTTGTTGATATTATTCAGCATATAAGATGTTTTCGTTTTTTTTTTCAGTCAAGTCATTGAAGTAGACAATATAGCATTGGAACATGGTGTAACAGCTCACTTGGGCTTTTCGATTTTTCATAATCCTTGTTGCTTACATGATCTTCTGCATGCTCAGCATCTCTGTGTTTGACCTAGTTTTGTCTAGTTTGTGGACATATAACCGAGGGGGCGTTTTCTCAACGCCACAGCTTACGTGTACATTTACAATGCATAACAAAATCACTTCAGTTCGACAAGAACAAAGTATCTGTTTGTTTGTCTTCGAAAAAAAGTTTTAAAAACAGCTTCGTATCCTTTTTGTTTTCTTCGCTGGGTGAAACGAAAAGAAAGGAGGGGCAAGGGATACTTCACAATCGACATAATAGTGACATTTTGGGGCTCCATTTATGTCACATGGGACCAACAGAGTCTATAGGTGTGTTGGTGAGGTGTGTAGCTAGCTCATGTGTTTCTACCAACCCTTTGCATCGTAGAAAATACTTTCAGAACAGTGTAACTTGAAAAAATAGTTTAATTCAATATCCGAATTTCGGAAACAAAATCGGGTTTAAACCTATTTTTAAGGAACAGGTTGTAAATTTAGGGAAATTTATGGTTTTAGCTGAGAACGAAGGACACTATCTATACTAAAGCATACCGAAAATATATTGTGCCTCGTATGGTCGCACCTGCCTATCTAAGTTTACATACGTTTTTACGGTATTCGGTACAACACGACTTTTTTTCTCCATTTAACTCGGGGTAAATTGAAGTAGCTGAAGTTGTATATGTTGATAAAATCTCTATAATTTTTTTTAAGTTGATTGATGCATTTGTGTTTTGTGTTAAATGCTTTTTCTAAGCACATGCCTCCGTATTGTTTGCCTGGATAGTTAAAATTAAAAAAAAAAAAAAAACAATAATTAAATTTATTCACCGATGCATTGCCTGCACGACGTTCGGAATTATTACGAAGATTGTAGACAATATCATGTAACTGCTTACATTGTAATGCCTGCTTGAGTTTCTCTCCACATGGTGTAAACATGTCCGCTTGAAGGCTCCAGGCTCTCCTGATAACATCTCGCTCTGGCTTCACCAAATTTCGTTTGTTAGCTAATTGGGATAAAATGTTAATTTCTTAATATCTCGTTCATGATTGATGAAACTTTGAAAAAGATAATCATGATCGAGCAGATATCCTGCAAAAGTACAAAAAGTTCATCAAGAAGGTTCATAAATAGAGGTGTGCGAATAGCGCTTCGAATCTAATAGCGCAAGCTTTAACACTGCGAAGTTAATGAATGCCACAGTGCTATTTAATTCAAACTGGCGTTAGCACACCGCTACCATAAACATATCCAAAAACAGTTCTTGAGTAGGTTTATAGTAAGGGTGTGCTAACAGCGGTTCGAATCAAATAGCACTGCTGCATTCACTAATTTCGCAGTGGAAGGAAAAGCCAACCTGAATTACGCTACATACGGAAACCTTTATTGATATTTTGATCGCAAACGTAGACACCACTCCTTTGATAAGCAACTGTGAGTCATTAAATGAGTGAGCAGCAGCCAGTATCCTTGTGCATACAAAATTCTTATCGTCAGAAAAAGAAAACAAAAAATGCAAAGCGTCACGCTCGATCACCTTGAGAAATATTGTCAATAGGAAAAAAAAAACTGCAGTGCATAAGGATATTGGCTGCTGCTCACTCCTCTAATGACTCACAGTTGCTTATCACACCAGTGGTGCCTACGTTGGCGATCAAGATATCAATAGGGGTTTCCGCATGTAGCGTAATTCAGGTTGGCCCGCTTATCGCATAAACACATAACAAGCAAACCAAACCGAGCGTCGTGGTGCCGGTATTTTTAGGTTAAGCATGTGCAGCTTCCCAGTGCTTATCACATGGGCGAAAACGCCGAGTTGGCTGTGGACGCACGCGCGGCATCCGAGATTCTGCAGAAGAGGGCTGCTGTGCATGACTCGGTCCACAGTCCACTAGACAAATATGGCAGCCCGCACAATGACTCAAATGATCTATGCGCAAGCGTCGTCTGGAACGAAGATGAATTTATTTTATACAATTTATTAGGGGTGTGCGAACAGTAGTTCGAATCGAATCCCTAGCTTCTGCACTGCTAAATTTCCCCTGCTTGAATTTCCCCTGCACTTTCAAGGCTATGAATGACGCAGCGCTATTCAATTCGAACCACTATTCGCACAACCCTATAATTTATAGTCGAATATTGTTGTTTTACCTTTTTTTTTCTCCCGCCAACTGACGACTTTGGCGCAAATGCCATTTGAAGCCATCGTTGAGTTACCGCCCCATTTTACCGAGCAGGGTAATATACTGCATGATTCGCTTTCTTCGAGTATTCGAGTAGCTGATATTTTACAAAACAATAATAATAATAAAAAAAAACTCTCATCAGGATACTTCTTATATTGTGAAAATAATTGCTGCGCGCTTTATTTATATATAATTTTTGTGTATACACATGTATAACTTCAGAACCATCCGGAGTAAAATGAATCGATCATGAGAGTAAATTTTCAAACGGTCCTGCATGTCGAATTTACTGCGATGCACTGTAGGCGCTTCAACCGTTCATTCTGCTTTAATCAGATCACCCAATGAGAACGGCGAGCGTAATCTCTTCCCAAATACAGCAGTTTCGGTGGCAATAAAACAAATAGTACAGGAAAATTAATTGGTGGATTCGTAGGGAATGCGTTAGCATGACCCTTGGGAAACGCCACACATGTCCACCATTGGGAAACGCTAACGCTCACCCCTTCACTCTTCTGTTTGGATTTCTTCTTTGCTTTCTTTATTTTCCGCTGCCTCTTTTTGGCCTCGGTAGGTCCACCCATACCGGAGCACCTACCGAGGTTGAACGTGGTAAAGGAACGACTGTACTCCGTTTCACCTTATGTTGTACCGCAGAGAAGGCTAGAAGCGCGAGCTCATAGCGTTGGGAGCCGCTCTTAACGCACGAGAGCTTGTGCCGCCGAGATGCGGCCTAGAGCTAGGAGCTCGCGCTTTGTAGCCTTTCCTGCGGTACATCATAAGGTGAAACAGAGTATAGTGGCGCCTCGACTCCCGTACATGAGCCTTCGGCGGTTGACGTGGTATAACAAAGACAACCGGGGACAGTACGGTTGTCACATAACCAATTACCTAATCACACCTTAATCCTTACATTCATAGATACTTCATTTTTACCATAGTAAAGCTTCGCTGGTCTCCGTTCTTCACGAAAGTAAAAAGGCTAAAAGCTTTTTTTCGTTGTTGGTAGGTATCTTTTTGAACATGCAAAACGCACGCTAGAATTTACTGCTTTGACGACGAGAACATGAATCACTTTTGGGTGGCTCTAAATCTACCATCGGAATTTCCCATAAGCTTGCAACGCCGAAAAAATAGGAAGGCACCGAGTGTGCATTTTATTTTTAATAGCGTTTTTGTTTTAATTGCTTTTATCTTGTTTTAGTAAATGTAAACTAACACGTTTTCGGTGATTTTAAAAGCATCTACGTTCATAGAACTTGAAACTTCCGGCTCTGGGATCTTGTCAGGCGTCATGTAGCTTTATACCTTTAATCACAAATTTCCCACAACCTTCTGGAAGATGGCGAAATCTTTTATTCGATTAGTTTCGATTTCTAAGTTCACATGAGCTTCCTTTTTCTTCCAGACACTCATGGCGGCTGTGGCAGCGTCCATCCTGTGCTACCTGGTGGCGGCGTCATCGAGTCCAAGCGTGGAAATCGGCTACGGAAAGATCGTGGGCACCAGCAGCGAAGTTCCCGTTGGCGACGGCAACAACAGGTCCGTGAACGCGTTCCTGGGCATACCGTACGCCACGCCGCCCGTGGGCGCCCTGCGCTATGCGAGGCCGACGCCGCCGCAGTCCTGGAGCCCCTACGTGCTGCAGGCCACGGCGAAAGGCCCTTCCTGCGTCCAGTTCCTTTCCGCCAACCCGATCCCCGGATGGGTGGCCAGAGATGTCGAGCAGAGCGAGGATTGCCTCTATCTCAACGTCTGGACGCCCGAACGGACAAATCGAACTGTTCTCAAGACCGTCCTCGTCTGGATTCACGGCGGGGGCCTCAACTACGGGTCGGCGTCCATGGACCTGTACGACGGCGCGGTCCTGGCGGGGGTCGGTGACGTGGTGGTCGTGTCCATGAACTACAGGCTGGGGTCCTTCGGGTTTCTGGCGCTCGGGGAGGGGGGCAAGCCTTCGCTGGGGAATCAGGGGTTGATGGACCAAGTGCTCGCGCTGAAATGGGTCCGCGACCACGTCGCGAGTTTTGGTGGCGATCCCGAGGCGATCACCATCTTCGGCCAAAGCGCCGGCGCTTGGTCAGTCAACTACCACGTCCTCTCTCCGCTCGCCCGATCCCTATTTAAGAGAGCCATCGTGCAGAGCGGGGCCGTGGTCGTTAACTTCTTGACCGAATCGGCGAGCGGGGCAAGGCAGCGGACACTAGCCTTGGCTGAAACTCTGGAATGTTCGACGACCAGTGGCGACGAAGGCATCGTCAAGTGTCTACGAAACAAGAGTGCCCATGAAATCGCGCTTGCGGAGGCCTTTGTCTGCGCAGACTTCGTCATCTGCTTCGGTGCCGTCTACGGAGACGACTACCTTCCGTCGGATCCCCTGTCTTCAGCCGACGTCGGCGTGACCAAGGACTTTCTGCTGGGAAACGTTGAAAACGAAGGCTCAGTGTTCGCCAGTCTGCAGCACTGGGCGCAATTTCCGTTCAAGGGCGCGCTGGACGTAAAGAAGCGCGACATGTTTCATTTTTTCTTGAAGTCGTTCGCGTTCGCGCCGGCTGCCGTCACAAGGCACATCTTCGAGCTGTACCTGGAAGGTGTGGACGAGCGTGATTTCCCGAGCCTTCGTGCCGGACTGGGACACGCAATTGGGGACGCCTTCCTGCGCTGCCCCGAGGTGTTCCTCGCGGAGAGATTGTCTCGGCAGAAGTCCAGGCTTTTTTACTACGAGCTGGTGTTTCATTCCGACCACCAGGCGGCCTACATGGACCCCTGGTTGGGACTGACACACTTCGAAGACTTGCAGTACGTGTTTGGACTTCCTCTGAGAACACACCGGAGCTCAACATATTCGGAAGCTGACGCCCGATTCAGCCGAGAAATCATTCGTGTCTGGACAACGTTCGCGAAGACGGGGTGAGTCCAAATGTTTGCACAATAGGTTTTCAGAAGAGCCAGAGAGCACGCCGCATCGCAACTGATGCTCCGGAAACACACACCAGTCATGGGTCTTCTGAGGATCCATGACGCCACAGAATGATCAGCGTCATGGTTCAATTGCCATGCGGTGGCATGATAGGTCCTTTTCGCGACTGAAAGGGCGTGGCCATTGGGATTACTAATCGTCTTTATCATTGACTGATAATTGCATTGATTGGTGTTCCGAGTGCATCGTGCATTCTATCATCCAATCGGATTACCGCATTCGCCCATTGGAACTTCGAAGCGCCAATCACGAAGCGTGAACAGCAACGCTGTGCGCTTTTTAAACTGGTATTTCTTTGCGCAAAGAACAATTTTCACCCCAATTGGCACCCTTTTCATGGGAAAGCATTTTGCTCCCGGAAAACATTCGATGATGCACTCCATGTTATCATTCACTGATTCAAACTACATTCCGCGGTAGAACAGATTTGTGGGCCGCCTCGACAAGTATCCGCATCGGCAAGTTGACTGCGGATACCCACGGATAAACCGTGGGTAATCCGCGGATATGAACGCTCTACACACGCGCATAAAATTTGAAGGGAATAATCAAAATAAGGCGTTCACCGACGCACGTTCCATGTTTTAGGGTTTTTGGTCTAGAACAGTAGCTGCTGCAGACGCCTGCATGGACACTGCGTGTAAGGATGTAATTGCACTCTCAGCGTGGTCCTTGGTGCTTGGGTGATTTATAAAAAGGTCTAATGGCTTTTATTATTTGCAGCAAGTTCGTTTTATTTTAAAATAATAATAAGGTAACGATGGGGAAAAGCTGTTTCATTGCTGCTTCACGAGCTCTCGAACTTCGATAAGTACCCCAGGATATAATCAATGCAAGATGAAGCATCACGGACTGCGAAAAAGGGAGTAACCTCAAGGCAAATAGCCATTGTCAGAAACCCAAGGTTTACTAAAGTTTGATGAGCTCCTAACAGTAAAAAAAAAAAAGAATTATAAACCTTAAAAAAAGTGCCGTATGCTATACCCACATCATTATCATACGCGATTAAAGAGAAGTGGCGTACGTTTATTATGAAGTGTCATGTGTCGGCTAAACAAATTAAGGAGTAAAAAAAAAACGCGATTTGTTTTGGGGGAGGGAGTTGACGTTTTCTATGATTAAAGTAAAACAGCATCTGACGTTTGTGCTGATGAACGGATCACAATACTTAATACCCGACTGCATCGGCATCAGATGGCTGGGTGCAGTCGGCAGGGTTTAGGTAACTTCAGCTTCGTCTAAACCGCAATCGTAACGAAATGAGTCTTACCTTTTTTTTTCTTCTTTCAATAAAATCATAGTTTATCTTCTTTTTTTTTCAATTGACAGACGTTGAACGTTGATTACAGCAGGTCTCGTTCCTCGAATGCACAATGTCATAGCAAACCTGGGGACAAAACAAATTTTAAAATATGGAGAGCAAAGGATTACAAAAAAGCGCACAATACGAATGACAGGAGTACATCTCGTCCTCTGTGAATGCTCTTTATTGCACCAAAACGACTCGACCGATTTCGCAACTCGCTCGTACCTGTCTGATCGACAAGACTGTCTGAGCGCTTAAGTGTATCTCATTGCGCAACTTGATTTCCGTTTGCAGGAGCCCTCCGGACGTGAACGGGGCGCTGTGGCCGGCGTTCGACACCGAGAGACACAGTGTGGTGTCTCTGGACTCGAACAACTCGCGCGTCGGCCCCCTCGAGCGACTCGCCAAGTGCCGCTTCTGGGAGGCCCTCGTCGCCCAGAGGCACTCGGAAGTGGACAGCTGCTCCTGAGCTTCGATGTGCGCCGGTCTTCTGGGCTTCGTTCTACACCCGCTTTAACGCGTTGGGACGCGTTCTCTCTGTGTTCTAAAAGAACGGCCAAACTATGTTCTGCAGACGCTACGTACAAACGAGTCAGCGTTCACCTACAGGTGTGGACCCTGCGAGTGTGCAGAAACCAGCGGGAGCGGGGAGCAGCTGTTGAATTGAAGACAAGGAACAGGTGCAGCTTCTCAAAGGGGCTTTTATTCCCAACGTCCGCTCAGGCAGCTCAGGATACGCAAGAGCTATACAAAAATGCAGCAAGACCAATGCACTTTGTGCGCAAGCGCAGCTCTCCCATCATCATCATCTTCGTTCGCACTTGATCAGTTTTGTTCTGGATTTTGAGCGCAGGATCTAAACTCAAATGTTCCTGGCGTGCGTGGAACAGGCCCCGCGCAGATTCTTCCATTGACGGACTGATAACATGTTTATTGACCATCTTAATTACGAAAGCGCAAAGGACAAGAACAGGACAAAGAATGAACAAGACAAGCGCTTTCCTTCTTTGTCCTGTTCTTGTCCTTTGCGCTTTTGTAATTAAGATGTTAAACCAACTTGCCCAACTGTTAATTTTAATTTATTGACCATTGTCTCAAAAAAACAAAACAAAAGACTTCGCCTTTCCACTCAGGTGAAGAAGAAAGACCAGCGAAGCTGTACGCTCGTCCCGTGTGATTCTTCTTCATCCTTGTCTGTTTTGCGCGCTGTTTCCTACGATGAATTCCCACCAACTCGCCCAACGATCCATTCTTTTATGATAGCTGTAGGGTGCCTACATGTCGGTCTGCCTCAGGGTGAAGGCATCCATTGTTTCCCTAATGTGCCAGCGCGTGACGCTCTCACGCACTCGGTGCGTGACGTGGGTGGTAAAATGGCGTCTATGTATTAACCAAAAGCTACACGCTCGAGCTGAGTGACACCAGATTGCGCGCAATACAAAATTCATAAAAAAAACTATTGGGCGGAAGAATGGCTGAAATGTCACCACTCAAGCAAAAGCGCGCGTGTGTATGAAGGCACTCGGGAGGGCTGGAAAGGCCCGCGGTCTACGAGCGACGGCGGCAACCAGACCGGTCGTCTGGTTGCCGACGTCGCTCATAGATGGCGGTAGCTGTCCAGAGTTTTGTGTCGTTTTGTGTCGACATTTGTTTGGTACCTGACACGAAACTGGGGAAACTAGCCCTCAACAGCTCCGCTGTAAAACATGCGTCTGGGTGGAGAAGAAAGAGAATCGAGATGCAAGGTCAAAGTTAACGTAAAAAACAGCGATCGCCCGCGCAACCGCTGTTTTAACGTTTACTGAGTGGCGCGGATTCCAACAAAAGGATTTCCACTTGCGCGCCGTGTCGAGCTGGTTGGTTTAGAAACCATGAGTTGTCGTGTAATCACGAGCGTTCAAATTACTGCATGTATGACTAAAGTTCTGGTAAAGCAGTTTGTTAAGTCATAATAATATTTCAGTAATTCTAAGGTAGATACATTCAGATAGCTTGTAACTTGGTTCATTTACAGTTACTTTTTTGAAACTCTCGATGCTGCGTAATCGTATTTAATTGTCTGCTCACTTATGCTTATTATTTGTTTATATAGTTATTTATTTATAAATAGTATCAGTTCATTTCGAGGACTTTGTTCTAAATTTTATATAAAGTGTAAATATCTTGATCGTGCAGTAAAATAAAATTGGGCTGTGCGTATTCTTATGCAGCCTAGAACTTGGTCTACCTCAACGGGCGACGAGTCTCCCAGCTGTAGATGAGACATTTAGCCAGTACAGTGCCACCGCTAGCCTGGGGTCTTCAACGTGAATCCACGCAGTAGTGATACACGACCGTACGCCAGTACGATGCTCATCCAGATCGAAACGGGCAGGAGCGGGCACAGTCAGGCCTACACTAGCCTCCACGAGTACGAGAACACCACTACACTGCGGGTACACTGTACAACGTCGGCACAAACAAGACCGCTCAACTTGTCCACCACACTAAGGAATCGAGCGGCTGTGACAAAAGGAATACGAACATCAAAAACGCATGCAGTGAGAGCGCGTGAACTGATGCACTGTTAAATCATTCAAAACAAAGAATCGACGTTCTTGTTCTTTTCTGATGCGCGGTTGAGGTTTTGTGCACGTATATTCCATGTCCGGAACACAGTCCCTCTGGGAAGTGTTTTTTGGATAGTCCTTCCTGAGACATACGTGGGACGTCTGTCGGACGTCGGCTTTGCTAAGAGGGACGTCCGCACATTTTTGGTATGTTTCCGGGACGTTTGGTGTTGTCTGGGATACGACCAAAAGTACAGCACCCTACACGTTTCTGCATCGCTGCAAAGGGGGGGGGGGGGGGGGGGCAGCTAAATCGAACGAACCTTTTTGTATATGAACCCCTTCGAAAAGTACGCCCTCTTATCTATCTGAAAATACTGCAAAATGGTGTGCGCGAAAAACACCAAGAAACGACAAGTCTATCAATCGTATACAGTATATTGGAAGTGAGTATTATATCAGTCATAAATTTGACAGCTTGTTGGTGTTTTTTCCGCACGCCACTGTGCAGTAGTTTCAGATCGACCGTAAAAAGGCGAAATCTTTAATGGGGCCTATGGGCTATTATAGCATGAATCTCAACGTCTTTTAATTGTGGGAGCCCGATTGCGCACCCCCGAAAGGTTGAGGACATACGGAAGGAAGGTTGACAGATTATATATATATATATATATATATATACGATAAAGACGGTCATCGTCGTCTTCTTTGTAACATTACCCCCCCGGTGTGGCGGCGGTCGTCCCGACCGCAAGTACAGATTAGGGTGTGTTATGGTGTGAATGGTTGCAAGTAGGGTTTCATGCGGGCGACATGTACGCTGTCGGTGGAAGTCCGGCGAAGGTCAGCCGTTGGTTTGTGGAGCGTCACTTGATATGTGAGGTCTGATAACCGTCGAGTGACGCAGAAGGGCCCGGTGTACCGGTGAAGAAGTTTGGTGCACTTGCCTTGGTGCCGAGTGGGTGTCCAAACCCAGACGAGATCTCCAATAGCGTAGGAAACCGGGCGATGGCTCTGGTCATAGCGTTGACGTTGGCGTTGTTGAGAAGAGGCTGTGCGTAATCGTGCTATTTGGCGGGCTTCTTCGGCGCGGCAGACAAGTTGTGCAACTGTGGGTTGGAGTTTTTGTTCGGTAGCACTATATGGCAGAAGGTTGTAGAGAAAAGTCGTTGGAAAACGATGGTGCAGAAGGAAACATGGAGAATAGCCTTGGGTATCTTGGATTGCAGTGTTATATGCGTAGGTCACAAAAGGAAGCACAGAATCCCATTGTTGTTGGTCTGACTGTAGACACATAGACAACATATCAACGATTGTTCTATTAAAACGTTCAACCATGCCATTCGTCTGGGGATGATACGCTGTCGTTGGTTTGTGTACAGTTTGGCACAGATGTAGAAGCTCCTGAATGACGCGGGAGAGGAAGACTGTTCCACGGTCACTGATAAGGTGCCTGGGAGGCCCGTGGCGGAGAATTACTTGTTTTAAAAGAAAAGCAGCAACGTCTTCAGCGTCTGCGGTACGGAGAGCGGAAGTCTCTGCATAACGAGATAAATGGTCCATCGCACAAATAATCCAGCGGTGACCAGCTTGAGTGGCGGGAAGTGGTCCCAGGAGATCGATTCCGACTCGTTCGAATTGATAACGCGGTGGTGTAAGAGGTTGCAGGAGTCCAGCTGGTGCTTGGGTTGGTTTTTTACGTTGCTGACATTGTAGGCAGGATGTGACATACTTAAAAATGTCACGGTACATTCCTTTCCAGTAAAATGTGTTTCAAACGCGCATGTATGTTTTAAAAAATCCTATATGTCCAGCTGTGGGGTCATCATGTAGAACGCGCAAAATATTCGTCCGGAGGTGTTTGGGAACAACAAAGAGTAATTCGGGCCCCTCGGGGTTATAGTTACGACGATAAAGTATGCCTTCTTTCAGTGTATAAAGACTGCTCAAACGCTGTTCTTGGCGTGTAAGATGAGCCTTTTTTAGGCATTTGAAAACCTGTTGTAAGTGGGAATCTCTTCGCTGCTCAGAAGCAAAATCTAATGTGGATGTCAAGGAGATTGCCGCGATTGGTGGATTATGATGTGTCGCATGTGCCGTAGAAACAGGATTTCTCGATAAACAATCTGGGGCTTCGTGTTTTTTGCCAGATTTATAAAATATAGAAACGTCGTACTCCTGAAGCTTTAGTGCCCAGCGTCCGAGTCTTCCAGAAGGGTCCTTTAGATTCGATAGCCAGCACAAGGCGTGGTGGTCAGTGATAACTTTAAATGGTCGCCCGAATACATATGGCCGAAACTTTTGTATTGCCCAAACCACGGCGAGACATTCTTTTTCTGTAATTCCGTAATTCATTTCAGATTTGGATAGCGACCGGCTGGCGTACGCGACAACATGTTCCTTTGAGTCACAGGTTTGAATGAGGATGGCACCAACTCCGTAGCCGCTAGCATCGGTGTGAATTTCAACCTCACGAGACGGGTCAAAGTGAGCCAGAACAGGCTGTGTCGTTAGTGCCGCTTTGAGGGAAAGAAACGCCTGCTCTTGGTCTTGGGACCACGCGAAAGGGACATTCTTTTTTAGGAGGCGCTGCAACGGTTCGGATAAATCAGCAAAGCCGCGAATGAAACGTCGAAAATAAGAACACAGACCAAGGAAAGAGCGCAAAGCTTTTAAATGTGTAGGGCGAGGAAAATCTGTGAAAGCCAGGAGCTTTTCTGGATCGGGGGATATTCCCTGACGGCTGACTACATGGCCAAGGATTTGGATTTCCGTATTACCGAAGGCGCATTTCTTTAAGTTGAGTTGTAAACCTGCTTTACGGAAGCATTTCAAGACCAAAGTAAGGCGGGAGAGATGTTTTTCAAAGGTAGATGCGAAAACTACAACATCGTCAAGATAACATAGACAAGCTGTCCAGCGTAGGCCGCGAAGTAGAGTGTCCATCATCCGCTCAAACGTGGCGGGCGCATTGCACAGGCCAAAGGGCATTACTCGAAACTGGTAAAGACCATCGGGAGTTACGAAAGCTGTTTTTTCTTTGTCTTTTTCATCTACGGTGATCTGCCAGTATCCGGTACGCACGTCTATTGAGGAGAAATAGTTGGCATCATGTAAACGATCAAGAGCATCGTCTATTCGAGGAAGAGGGTAAACGTCTCGTTTTGCTATTTTGTTTAGACGTCTGTAATCAACACAGAATCGCCATGTACCGTCTTTTTTCTTGACGAGCACTACGGGGGAAGACCATGGGCTCGAGGATTCCTCAATTATGTTTTCTTGGAACATCTTGCTTACGTGTTCTTGTATAATGAGTCTTTCAGAGGAAGAGACACGATAAGGACGACTACGTAGCGGTCTATGATCGCCGGTGTCGATCTTATGTCGGACAACAGAAGTTTGACCTAAGTGAGGATAACTGATATCAAAGACATCCACGAAAGAACATAGTAGACTGTAGAGCGCATCCTTTTGATGACGTGGAAGACGAGTGTTAATAGTTTTCCGGAGTAAACTTAACGCTTCCTGATCGCGGTGAGAGGAGTGAGGCTTCATCTTTTCATCAGTGACAGCGCCGATATATAAGAAATCATTCAAACTTGTTCTCGAAACGCAGGTTCCATCTGGTAGAACTTGAAAAATTTCAGTAATATTTGCTAACCAAACAGTGGTTCGATTATTTTGTGACTGTGCGAGTACGGTAGGCAAAGCTAGACCTTTCTG